TTTATTTCACTAAATTATATATTTTTTACTTTTATGTTCACAGATTCAGCCATCTCTTCAGCCACATACAATACATTCTATTCTATTCTATTCTATTCTATTCTATTCTACTGAAATCTATACATTGGCTGAGAAGAAAAAAGAAATATACATATATGTAAACATTATTCTATTCTATTCTATTAAAGGCCTATTATATTACATTATATTCTTTTGGTCCCATTTTCCTATTCTCATTTCTATAGCCAAATAATGCCTAAAACCTATAATGCCTATAAATAATATTACAAAATAAAGGCAGAAAATTCAGAAACTTATTTTACCTAAATATCTTTTGGATAGACTAGAAGCAAATTACATTGAACTTTCAGTCATTCGGCCAAACAGGCGTTTCAGGGCACATGCAGATGGCTACATGCATGGTGGAGGTTATATATATTTTCAGAAGATCAACAATAGACATGAACTGACCCTTTCAAGCGAACCCATGTGAAGATCAAGTAAACTATAAAGCCCCTGCACAAGTACAAAGTGACAGGGCTGTGAGCTCTGGGTGATTCACGTTCTCAGAGGCTCAAATAAATGTTTCAGAGTGAATAAAACCCTGCTGAATTACTTTGGTCTAACATGGAGTTATTGATCGCGGCCAAGGGCAGAATAGAGCCGGGCCGGAGCCTGGCTCTCTGTCTGAATTAGAGCTCTGTCGGCACAGCGCAGGTCTGATGTACTCACACTGTGCAAATGTAGAGGGAAGAAATCGGATTTGCAGCTGCTGTACTGCAGTTTGCTATGGGGATTGTTAAGAGCCTTTTACCCCATCATCATGCCTTGCACAGCACATTGGGAGGTCAGTACATGTTCAGCGCTATTTATAGTTATGCAAGTTATACTAGAATGTAATGTAGCCTAAAAGTACGCAACAATAATGTAAAGTTAAATAGCAGCATGTAACCTTCAAATTATAGATGCTGGCATGCTGCATATACAGTTATACTAAAATGATGTGTTATTATGTGTGCAGACAGACACACACAAATCAAAATATGCAAGGGAGACATAGAAAGTCCCAGTCTCAAAGGTGAATTTGATGTCAGTGGCTGCTTTGAAAATGAGAGATAGGGTGGAGAAAGGGAGGGAGATGGAGAAAGAGAGAGTGAGAAAAGGATGACTCACCCTTTGAGAGAGCCTCCTGTAACTTCAGGCAAGCTGTTGGGTGCATAAATAAATGATGATATGGTGTCCCAATGTTGGTTTTGTGATGTCAGGATGAGCCTTCTCCCTCCCTCTTCCTCTCTATTTATCTCCCTCAGTGTCAGGTATACACCTCCTTTTTTAAGTTGGGGAAAGTTGAGGCATTGATTTGTGTAGAGTCATTTGTATAGTGTGAAGTGTAGTCACTTTGGGTGTCTGAATTTCTGAAGGTGTTGATATGTTGATGTGCTATCAATGGTGTTTTGACTGTGTCTGCTTCTGTCGATTAAGCTGAACTGTGTTAACGTAACTTGTTAACAAGATCTGTTGCAAAATAATTTTAGTTGATGCTAAGTAAACACATTTTCATCACAAGAAAAATGTATAGGAGAAGAGGTAGGATTAAATAATTTTTTCATGTTTTTAAAGAACTCTTTTATGCTCATCTGTTTATTTGATCAAAAATACAGCAAAACAATAATATTGTAAGCTAGTATTATATATATATATATATATATATATATAACGTATATTATATAAAATACGTTTTATTTTTATTTTAGTATATTCAAAAATGTTTTTTATTCCTGTGATGGCCATTACTCCAGTCTTTAGTGTCACACAATCATTCAGAAAAAAATTTTTGGTACTACAAAAAAAAAAAAAAAAAAAAAGTTGTGCTACTTAATATTTTTGTTGAAATTGTGATACATTTTTCAGGATTTTTTTTATGTGTAGAACATTTATATGAAATACAAATCTTTTGTAACAATGTAAATGTCTTTATTGACACTCTTGATTAAGTTAATGCATCCTTGCTTGAATTAATTAGTATTAACTAATATTAATGATTAAAATAAGCATTAATGTCTTTAAAAAATATTCCTGTCCTCTATCTATCTATCTATCTATCTATCTATCTATCTATCTATCTATCTTCCTGTCCTCGATCTATCTATTGAGTCTTATGGAAAAATTGTTATTGGATTTATTTACATAGGCCTCATTTTGATTATTATATACATGTAATCATTTTAATGACAGATGTTTGTATTAATTTAGCATATTTGTCATTTCTAAGTTTCCAAATGACTAAATGTAAATAATGGGCCATTTCTAAATATAGGATCAAATATCATGCAGTTTGGGGGGCAACAAAGCTCACCTCACTCTTCCTATACTGTTTGTGTATGTGTATATGTGTTATAAAGTGTAAGTTCCTAAGAATGTGCAAAGGCACTCAATTTAAACCTAAAAGTTTATTTTAGAAAATAAAACATATTGTAGATTTGATGTGAATCAATATAACACCAAGTGAAAAGTGTTAAATGAAATGCTTGGAGAATCATACATATCGAAACAGATTTTCGAAGCGGAAAAGCAGTCAACCCCGGCATCTGTTTGGACAGCTCCCCTGTAATATTATCACACGCATACATATTTCATCCTTTCTTTCCTCCTCCCATCCCTGTCATCCCTTCTTTCCTCTCCTCATCGCTCTTGCTCTTTCTCTTTCTCTTTCTCTCTCTTCCTCCTGAATACTAATTCAGCCTCACGGTTCTTAATATGTTTCAAAGCACACCTCCTGGGTTAGCCCTCTCCATTTCTCTTCAAAGGTTCTTCTTCTGGCAGCGCTGGTGGAATGCAGTGACAGAATGTGTTTAAAAAAAGGAGAAGAAAGAAACCTTGCTTGCTTGAGGCAGGGAGAGTGCGCAGCATGCATGTGTGTGTGTGTGTGTGTGGGTATATTCAAGGTTACGGCTCTCCACAGACACACTGGACATGACAAGCAAACATGATGAGCCGGTTCTATATAGATGTGCAAAACTCTTCGATTTGAGCTGGAGGGGTGAGAAAGCAAGTAGAGAGGGAGTCCGAGAGATCAGGAGGGATAAACAGATGTTTGTACATGCTTTCGGGAGTGCAAACGCAACAGGAAAATAAGAGCAAGGGAGGGGCGGCAGAACTGGGTGGGGAAACAGATGCACCGCATTGTCAAGCGATAATGGAGAGAACCAAAGAAAAGAGATGCCCCGTATACGATTGCTCAAGATATTGATGCGGGAACTCCAGGGAATTGCGTGGAACTTCTGATCGATGCTCTTTCCTCTTGTTGTCATTGACATTTCTCAATGTCATTGTTAGTTGTTTGATACAACAACCAGTAGTATCAATTATAAAGGGATTTATGGGAACATAAGTGGCCGGTGATGGTGGTTCTCTCCCGTTTCACAGACACACTGACTTAGTGACTGACTAACTCTGATATCTCGGCTCACCAGAGAGTATGAGGGGGTTGCAGCGAGGCAAGGAGGGAGGAAGGGAGGGAGGGTGGATGACGGTGAGAGCGGGTTGGAGGCACACACACACACTTGCTCTCGCATACAGCCTTACAGAGACAGGAGGGGAGAGTCAGAGACGCGGAGAAGAAGAAGAGGAGAGAGAGAGAGAAGGAGAGAATGTCTGCTGAGAGGGTGGCTCTCGTTCCTCGTTCACAAACCGGCCCTCGCTGAGACACCATGGGCTGTATCGGCTCCCGCACCATCAGTAAGACCCTCTCTGTTTTGATTGCCTTTCTTTTCCAGGTTGAAAGGAGACCAGCCAGGGGTAGAGGAGCATCCCCCCTCTCGGAGAAAAACGTGTGTGTTTCTATGGAAACCTTCTGGTTAAAGGCCGTTTGTCCTCCAGGCTTTGACAGTGATTCGGCACGCTGCTTGTGGGAAGCTGGGATGGAGGTGTTAGCTTTTGAGAGCTGTTAGTGTGCCTGGAATTGATAGCCATGTGTGTCCGCGTGCATGCGGTTGGTGCAGACAGAGTGGTTTTAAAGATACAACGTGGAATTTTTGGAGCGTACGATTGCATTCGATGCACCTCCAGAACGACTCGCAATATCTGACACTGTGCTAAGGTCACGTCAGGAGCTGTTTGTGTGGAAACAGAAGCAGTTCACAGGTTTGAGCGTGTACGTACATGCAGCCAGGTTAACCGAAGAGGGTGTTTTTAGGATCAGAGGTGCTCGCGCGCAAAAAGCGCTCTGGTGTGACGTGGAGCCGGCTGAATGCGTCTCACATGTAGGTCAAATTCTACAAAGTCAACGGCACCAGTGGGCACCTGTTCCCACCAAACGGTTATGCGTTAACACAGCCGTCTATGACAAATTGAGGGTGTTTTGGCACGATTAATATTCTTCTGTAACCGTGAGATGGCAGGCAGGCTAACTACCCTGGAGAGAAGACTCTGAATTGTTCCTCTTAAACGTGTTTTACGATGCCGTCCGCCCATTAAGACGAGAGCGCAGTATCAAAACAAACCGAGGCAGCTGATGGAGTGATAAATAAATAAATGCTGCTGTATTTGACCTTTGATTGTCATTGAGCTGTCATGGCAAAGGAACAGAGAGTCTGGATGGAAGATTTCTTTCACATAATAAAGCTATTGCAGAAAGTGTAAGAGTGGGATACATTGGGTAATTAGGGAAACCCGTGCCGAGTAACTAAATTTAACCAACTCTTATAGAAATACTTAATTTTTAAAGAACTAAAAACTCATATGTCTTCAAGTTGTGGCACTGGAATTGGCCTACTATCTGATATGCTCTAGAGAGGAGCGTGGATGGCATATTTAGTGTGTTTGGCTATAAATAGTGTCTACTTTACAGTGACCGAAAAGCAGAGGAGAGAGGACAAAATGCATGCTAAATAATATGGGTCAAGTGCCTGATATAGGCCTGTGGTTGTTAACCCCTTATTTTGAATGGAGCAAACACTTCTAATGTAATTTATGTGCTGTCGACATGTTGCACTGATGCTCTTAATGGCTCAACCAAGGCCCCGTTATCGATTTTTTTGGTTATTCTTGACTTCATGAGCTCACCAAGCAACCATTCTTAGGTTGATCATCTCAAATCCTTGTGAGATTCTGTGTTTACAGTAAAATGCATCGCATTTGAATTATACTTTCAAACTTTTTTTTAATATCAGGTTTGGGTTTTTAATTAAAATCACTTACACAGCTATTGTTCTTCTCACAAGGATTGTGTAATGAATCAACCACAGTCTTTAAAGGGCACTACTGAAATACCTGAATCTGGTGACAGATTGTAAAGGGCAATTGCAATTTACTAATCAAAGTATTAAACTAGAAATACCCTCTTGCAGCTTTCAGTAAACGAGCATGAAATGACACTTCACAGGCTTTCCTCATTAAAGTTGTTATGTTAGCTAAGCTGTCAAACATATTCACTAGGAATATGTTTGCTATAATTAAGCTCTTCAGTACTTTACCAATCAGCAGTGAGGGTCAATCAATGGCTGTAGAAACAGCACTAAGCATTAATGAATTAAGTGAGTATTGTTTATTTTGAACAGCTACTTTGTGGGTCTCCTCTAGCTATTTAACATATGATTAACATATGACAGATATAATATA